ATGCAGTGATAGATATAGATATAGATAGTATCTGTAGTGATAGATATATAGATAGTATATGTAGTGATACCTATAATATAGAAGATATAGATTGTATAGATAGATAGTATATGCAGTGATAGATATAGAGTCCATCCATCTGGCATGTGGCCTTCCTCTCTTCCTACTTCCCTCCACCTTCCCCAGCATTATTGTCTTTTCCAATGAGTCTTCTTTTCTCATAATGTGTCCAAAGTATTACAGCCTCAGTTTGGTCATCTTGGCTTCCAGGGAGGTTTCCAGCCTGATTTAGGACCCATTTGTTTGTTCTTTGGCTGTCCATGGGATCCTCAGCACTCTTTTCCAGCCCCACATTCTCTCAAATGCATTGATTTTCTTCTTATCTTTCTTAACTGTCCAGCTCTCACATCCATCCATGGGAATAGGGAATACAATGGCTTGTATGATTCTGACTTTTATGCTGAGTTGTATATCTTTGCATTTTAGAATCTTTTCTAGTTCTTTCATAGCCAACCTCCTCATTCTTAGACTTCTTTTGATTTCCTGACTGCAGTCTCCATTTTTACCAATGTTTGATCCCAGGTACAGGAATTCTTTTACTATTAACTATATATAAAATATACAAGGGGTATTGTAAAGTAATAATTGTCACCCAGAAGTTATTATGGTATATTGATGAAAGTTTGTCAGTGTCATTGTTGGTCCCTAAGTGCATGATATTGAGAAAATCAGCTCATTGTGTTTTGTGACAGGCTGTGCCAGAAGTGACTAAAGTGTAAGATGGAGAAGTACGAGGGGGTATCGTAAAGTAATAGCAACTTCATTTATATACCCCTTCATACCACACTGAGCAGTCTCTAAGCAGTTTACAACAATCTGGGCACTCATTTTAGCGACCTTGGAAGGATGCAAGGCAGAGTCGACCCTGAGCCCCTGGTTGGGATTGAACTCACAACCTTGTGGTTTGTAAGTGGCTGCAATACTAGCATTTAACCACATTGGTGGAAGTTATTGCCACCAGTATGTAGCAATGGATCTCTCTAGGGGAATTTTTAATTAGCTCAATTAATTACTGAATTGTGCTACAAGCAACCCTTTTTGGAATCGTTTCCCACTTTTATACAGAGGTTGCTGGAATAGAGCAATGCAGAGGCAGAATTATTTTTTTATGAATTGTATTTTATTAAAGGGAAAAACACACAACACTACAAGCACACAAGCATTCACACACATGAGCTATGGAATGATAGGAAAGGCTTCATTTGAGGGGATAATTACTAAAATGTGTTTGCTCCTTGAAGATGTGGTTTCATGATGAATCTAATATTCAGCTGCTGGGGAGCTCTCTGAAGGCAGCGCCAGCAGAATGCAAAGAGACATGGGGTCCCTCATGCAAATCAGACTAGCCTCCTGAATTTAAAGAAATCTAGGATCTTTTATAAGCCAAAAACAGCCTGAAGGCAAAGACGCATCAAGGGGCTGACCTATGGGAAATGGTCACTCGATATGGGGGTTCTTTGAAGTGGGGATTGGAGTTGTAAATGCCTGTTCTTCAGCTTGAGCAGAAAAGCATAAATCAACTGGCCTTCATGTCTCAGAGGTGTGAATGTTCCATTGATTGCACGCTGGGAAAAATGTGTAAATCTGGATGGTGACTACGTAGAGATTAGTTAACAACTACAAATCAAAATAAACTCTCTCAATTTTTTAAAAAGGTGATAACTAAAACTTTATGATACCCCCTTGTATATAGTATGTGTGTGTGGATTACCAATGGGCGGGTTATAAATAAATTTTATTATTATTATTATTATTGTGTGTGTGTATATGGAGGAAATGCATCTGAGGAAGTAGACTGAAGTCTACGAAAGGTCATGCTGCCAATTTATTTCTTTCAGTTAGGGCCTTTACAGACTGCCAGAAATAGTGCAAATTGAGGCCACTTTAACTGTCCTGGCTCAGTGCTAAGGAATCATGGGAACTGTAGTTTATTGTGGCACCAGAGCTCTCTGACAGAGAAGGCTCAATGTCTCAGAAAAAACTACAAGTCCCATGATTCCCTAGCACTGAGCCAGGACAGTTAAAGTGGCCTCAATTTACACTATTTCTGGCAGTCTGTAAAGGCTAGTCTCAAAGCTGCTACAAGATCTCTCTACATATATATAGTATGTATGTACAATATACCGTAGTGTATAGTATGCATAGTGTATACATATATAGTATATAGTAGTGATAGCAAACCTTTTAGGGGCTGAGTGCCCAAACTAAAAGGCCTTCCAGCACCGGGTGTTACCCAAAATTGGGGGTGGCCCTCTGCCCTCTGTTCATTCGGCTCATACTATAAATCACTTTTGTAGTGTCCTAGATCAGTGTGACAGCATCCATCCCCTTTGCACAAAATTTAATTTTCTTTTGGTGCTACATCCACCAGGTTGCATCAAGGGGAAAAGTTTCATTGGTGGAAAACTTTCCTTTCTAAGAGTTAGTGTGCAAATCCACATGTTAGATTGTTGCATGTGATGACTGAACAAACATACATGTTACAGGATATAGTGCTTCCCATGCAAGGAAATATTGTCATGTTCAAACAGCTCTGATACTATTCCTTAAAACAGAATATAAATACCTATCTCATTTCCCAGAAGCAAAACTGCTTCCAGGTTCATGCAGCTTGGATTGATGCATATGTGTGTCTGCATTTAGGAGCTGTTGAATTTAGCAACACATAAATGTTTACATTTGAGGAGGGGATGATGGGCAACTACTAGCTGGGATTTCCTGATGCCTCTCCTGGTTTGCAGAATACAAGTGGCTTGGGATTGTAGGGGGCAAAGGTGTCAGTTCTCCTTTTAAAATCAGCTTGAACCAGCCTAGATTTGTAGTGTAGCTGAAACTGAAGTCTGCAGAGTGGCACTGAATGGGTTTTGTCCTTTGTGAATTGATTTTTTCAACTTCTTGTATCTGTCCAACTTCCATAATCCTGTTTTATTTAGAAATCCTGATTTATAGCAGGTCTGTTGCTCAAGTGGCACACTGCTAGTTGGTTTCATGGGGACCGTCTGCTGTTCATTCCTCAGGGATTTTGAAATAACTGATTAGGTGGAGATATTTTTATCATTCTCTGGTGTGTCTTGCTAGCCTTCTGGTCATTGTTCTGTGATTAGACAGAGCAATCTGTGTAGTACTCACATCCCTACGGTACCTCTATGGAGAAAAGGCACAGTTCATGGGCTCAGTGTATTTGGAATTATAAAACACAGAGGTCCATGTGCAAGATCACTGTTTGTACTCTTTTTTGTTAATTGGTGGTTGCATTTAATTCTGTGTTTCTCATTTACATGCATGTGTACTCCCACTTACATTCATGCATGCTATTTATCCTGACTTAAGTAAATAGTAGTTTGCAGAAGTGATTTTGGTCAAAGAAGGGGTTATGAAGTCCATTTCCCTATATATCTCTGTATCAATCAAGTTTGGGGAGTGTGAGAGAGAGATCACAACCACTTTTATGTGAAAATAAATCAAGGAAGCCACAGTTCTGAGTCTGCAAAACCTAAGCAGGGCAGTTGAGGATAGGGGAACTTGGAGGTCTCTCATTCATAGGGTCACCATAGGTCGCAGTTGATTTGACAGCAGTTAACAGCAACAACAACAAGTAAACAATTTATTTAATTGTAAATAAATAAATGAAGTGAAAATGAATAGATCGCCAATCTAATTCTGGATTTTCTGTGTAATGTATCATTTGTCCTCTGATTTCTAGTTGATATTAGAACCTGCAGATACATTACTTTGAAAACAAATGTAGCAACCCATTTATTAGGTCTTTACTCAGAGTATTCTGACTGCATGTACAGAAGAATCAGTTAGATTTTAAAGGATAGCTCTTCTGCATTAAAGCAATCATGAGCTCAGATCTTATTTTCGTCTCTCCAGGGCATGTCTGTCTAGCACTTTCTTTGGGAGCGGGTTGTTCTTATTGAGGATATTTTCACAAGTCTTGAGCCTACTCTGCTTTTTAGCCCATCTGCATGGCAGCTGAGTAGAAGAGCATGCTTACTACAGGTATTTCATGTTGGAAGCATAGTGGTTTATGTGTAGGACTACGACTCTGGAGACCAGGGTTCAAATCCCAGCTCAGTCATGTAAACCTACTGGGTGACCTTGGACAGGTCACACTCTCTTAGCCTCAGAGGATGGCAATGGCAAATCTCCTTTGAAGAAACTTGCCAAGAGAAGCCTGTGATAGGTCCACCTGAGGGTCACCATAAGCCGAAAACATCTCGAAGGCAGAAACTACAACAAATCTAGCTGTGAAACATCAGAGACTAGATTTCAGGGGGAACTACATAATACTTAAAGGCATATCTGCAAGATCATTTGAATACAAAGTTATTTTCTCTCAGTATGCCTGTACTATACTGTGCCATTTCATATCACAGAAAGGGGATTGTGTATTTTAGTTCTTCCTTCTGAAACAGAATAAAACTAATATCTTTAACATGGAAAACTAGCATATCATGTTTGGCATGCGGGAATAGATCCTAATTTAGATTGGTGATTGTCTTAAAGCACAAAGTTACTTGTCTCCTAGTGTTTCTAAACTGAACTGGTGATCATGGTTGTAGAAGAGGAGGGAGTTAGCATCATTAAAATGGAAATGATCACTTGTTTGCATCCTGTCCGGCCTAATAAAAACATTCAGTATTCCAGAGCAGCTTTCTGTGCCATCATTTGAGGTGTGTGGTGACAACACACCACACTGTGGTAGTTCAGAAAGGTCATGGATTCACTGTTCAAACATCCTCTTTACACTGTGGTTATATCTGCTTACTTTGGATGTCTGTGCAGCAGTGACTTGAAGTGTGTGGCGAGCTGACTTGTGTTTTGTAAGGATTTCATTGGGATAGTGTCTTCTGTGAACTCTATGCCCGATGACCCATAACACTCCCATAGAATGCTGTTGATAAGGACTAGCATTCTTAAGGATGATGAATTTTACAAAACAATTCATTTGTGACTCTACAAATTCAACTTTTCTCCCATTAAAGAGAATTGTCATAGTTCACCTAAGGGGGAAGAAAAAAGGGTTCACGGACACACCACTGCAGTAGGTATAGTGTTGTTTCCTACTGTTGTGCAGCCCAAAATCGTAAGACTTGTTGTTAATGTTTATTTATATAGTGCCATCCATGTATACGGACTCAAGCTTGCTTCCATATCTCTAGATTTATAGTTAATTGTATTAACTCTGCTGTGCAGATGCAACCTTAGTACTGTATTCAAGGTAGCTAATTTTCCTCTTCCTTCCCTGTTTCTTCTTTATTCTTTTACAGTTGTATCTATTAGATTGTAAACTGTTATTTCATACTGTAAAATGATATTTTATATCATTAGGCAGAGTGAGGCAGCATTCTTCTTGGGTCCTCCTTCTATTGAGGAGAGAGCTGTATGTGTCCCAATGTTGCCCTCAAAGGCACCAGAGGACACTGCCAATGATTCAGTTGCCAAATCCAGTTTGCTTCCGTACTTACAAGCAGGGAGAGTGCCATCTTGTTATTTGCTTCAGACCGCAAAGTGTTTGGGGTCAGCACTGTTAATATCTTTGGGATCCCAGGCAGAAAGATGGTATGCAACTGTGTAAGTAAATGAAAGATGGCTTTGTGATGAAGACAAACATATAAATTGGGGAAAAAAGATACTTTGTTCCTTCGCTCAGCACTTTTTGCCATAAACATTTATTTTCATATTATGGGTTGTGTCAAGTACATATTTGAGGGAAACCTCGGTTTTAGATACTGAACCACCACTTTCCCCTTTTGTTTTCCATTTTGCTCAATCTGTATGGATTCAAAAGTGACTCAGCTGCCTGGCTGTTGTGAGTTTCTCTTTTTGGAAGACAAGTTATTTTTAAAACTCACACACTTCAGATCTCAAGTGTCACCCAGCCGTTTTCTTAGAAGAGAGTGCTGCACTGATTAGAAAGGCCAAAACAATGTTAGAGGTTTAAATACTTAAGGTAGACCAACTGGAGGCATGCTACAAAAACGTCCTCTGATTTGTTTCTATTAACATACATTGGACTAAATCTCTGGCGATCCAGTAATTTCCCTGGGGGTGGTGGGTGCGGAGGATATTTGCACATTTGTGTATCATGATAAACAGCAACACCTTCTTATATCGCAAGAAGCTACAGTGTGGTTTGTTGAAATTTAGCTTGTTGGGATGTGCAAATCCATGCCTGCTAAAAAAAAGCCATGGATTGTTAACCACAAACCACAATTGGAACCCATAGTTATTAACTTTGGTTTGTTGAAGCTATGGCTTGTTGTGATGTTTGAACCCAAAGCTGTGGATTGTTTCCTGCCCTGTTCCGTCTGAAACAGGAGATGACAAAAGCAGGTGGAGAGAAACAAAGCAGAAATGGGAACACACACAACAGTCTGGTTGTCTGGTGTGTGATTTCTGGTTTAAGTAATAAACTGTAGTTTATCGCAGGAGTGGGAATGATGTGACCCTCCTGGTGTTTTCAGACTGTAAGTTCCAGCAGTCCTAATTAGCATAGCCAGTGATTAGGGATGCTGGGGTATAGTACTCCCATAACATCTGGAGGGCTTACAATGTGGAAATTTATTACAATGTGGAAATGTTTATCATGATGTATGTGTGAAGGGAGGGCACAGATACCACGGATTCTCCTAATGATCCAGGTAGCATTGTATTTTCTTCACTGGGTTCCTACCTATTAGAAGTGGGCACTTGGTTTAGGGTTTTGATAGATTTTCCTTTTTCAGAAATTCAGTTGCCTGTTTTAGGGCTATTGTTGAATGTTGGATTAGGAGTCTGGAGACCAGGTTTCAAATCCTTGCTCAGCCATGGAAAGCAACTGGTTGACTTTGGGCAAGACACACTCTCTCAATTTCAGAGGGAGGGCAATGACAAATCTCCTCTGAACAAATCTTGCCTAAAAGACTCCATGATAGCTTTGCATTAGGGTCACCATACCTTGGGAAGTGACTTGAAAGAACAAAACAACAAGAACAATAGCAAGAAGAAGTAAAACAATAGGCTATTTTGACCTTTTCCAGTATATGAGCTGTTGTTCTCTACTTGATGGCCCTATCCAACTCTAATCTTGGCAAGATTCCTCTAAGACTCAGAGAGTGCACTTGACCAAGGCACTAAGAGGTTTTCCATGGCTGAGTGGGGATTTGAACATTTGAATCTTCAACATTTAAGATCATGAACCCAGAGGTATCTTTTGTGCTGGAATCTTTCCCATGTCCTGAGTAACTTCATTTTCCTGAGTGAAAAACGGGCTCAATCCTATCTCACCTGTGTCCCTGTATAATTTGGCCTTTTGAGTGTGTTGGACTTCAACTCCCAGAAGCCCCATCCAGCATAGGGGTATGGGATCATGGATGCTGTAGCCCAAAATACCTGGAGGAACAAAGATTTCCCCACCCTTTCTATAAATTTTGCTTAGTGAGCTACTGAATACTAAGCCTTCTATAACACTTCTTGACATGCTGCTTTGTATAGCCCATGGCTGGAAAGTGTGTGGCTTAGGAATGAGGGAAAATGTATTTTTCACACGTTTTTCTCACATCTACTTCAGGCTGTATGTGCAGCCTGCGTTAAAAATGTTGATTCTTCTGTTTACCAGCCTCTTTCCCCACTGCTGTAAATTGGAAAGAGACATTTATTTGTGAATTAATGGAACTTGGCACTGATGTAGCTTGTGGGTCTGTAATATCCATAGTTGTTGCTAATAAGCTTTTTTTTTTTTTTACCAGTCAAGTAAAGTCCCCTTTTAATAGCTGTGTTTTGGGAAAATGCCAGTTGCTTCTACTGTTTAATGTTCTTACATTTTTTGGCACTTTGACACCAAATTTCTGCTTGATTTAATTAGACTGAGGCTGATCCCTTTGGTCATAACATTTTCTCAAATATTAAATGTCCCATCTCAGTGCAATGCAGTACTGATGACTAAAGAGGCATAACATTGATGAATTGGTTGGTTCTGCATGTATTTTTACTGGCTTGGATCAATAGTATACTGCCTTTTTCTTGGACGTATAGAAATGATAAATAGTTTGCACTTTTCTGAAAAACATTGACGGTAGGGGATTGGGCCAGAGTTAGAAGAATTACTTTTTTGGACAACACCTCCCAAAATCCACCCATCAGCTTGATCAGTGATAGCTGTACTCGAATGAAGTAAGTATATAAATACTCCATGGACCACAGGGATATTACACACAATATGAACCCCCCCTCCCAGCACTGAATTGGATACATCCCAAAGACTGGCTGGTTCTTGACAAAAGAAAGTATAAGCCTAGGATGGGCAACTTTAGTGGGGTTGAGGGTCAAGTTTTGTCTACATCACTTAGGAGTGTAAAGAATACTCATGCAAAAGGAAGTGTCCTGATGCTCAAGACATCACACTAAGGAAAAGAACAGCCATAAGATTATTCATAGCTTCTCTGAGAAGATTTGCTCATGCAAACAAACAAACATGCACACGCACACAATATTTCTGCATAGGAAATACATTCCTGCACAAAATAACTGCTTTTTGGCCATAAACAAATTTTCTGTCCAATAAACAAGTTTTTTTGTGTGTAGAAAAAAGTTGCTTTTTGGGGGTTTTTTAACCCCCAAATTTCACCACAAAATGCAAAACCTTTAAGAAGCAAATAGTGATTTAAAATGGCACAGAAGCCTTTATATTCTCACACAGCAAGCAAGAAACTGCTAAAATTAGCAATGTGCACATGCAACTTGTTATGTTGCTTACATGCACCTTACTGTGAGATATCAGAAGAGCAATTTCTTGAATCTGGTTTCTTTTGGCAAGGGGAATTCCTGGAATCTTAAAGAGTTTCTGTATTATTTCAGTTTTTTTTTAAAACAAAAGATGCAAGGATGAACCAAGGATGAGCATAGCTTACCCATCCTATAGGAACAAGTCTACTCAGATTCTTTGACTTTCTGATGTTCTGTTCTTTGGTTGAATTCTGACAAAAATGACATGCTAGGATTCTGGAGAATCCTGTCACAATGTTGATAAGTGTGCTGCTGCATGCTACCCCATTACTTCCCCTGTGGGAGTAGCTTTAGCAACTACAGTTCACCAGTA